GTCAGGGCAAGGCTTACTCACAGATCAAACCCTGAAACAACCTCTGGGCTAATCTAAGTCAGGGCATGGCTTACTCACAGATCAAACCCTGAAACGATCTCTGGGCTAATCTAAGTCAGGGCATGGCTTACTCACAGATCAAATTGAAATTTAGCTTGCTAGTTTTTGTGGAGGGAGAAAATATGGAGAACCCAGAGAAAAACCCTTGAATCAAGGGAGAGACCCAACAAACTTTGCTCACATGTCGAGTACAGGAATCAAAACTGAGACCCCAGAGGTGAAAAATGAGTGAACTAATACTTGGCCACGCTTGATTATCCTTGAGACTACCAAAAATACTCACTTGATTGCAGCAGATAAGGGCCAAGAAGGCTTCTGATGCAGGCTGTAACAGATCCATGTTGAAAGACTCAAGAAGAATCATATTGAAAATCACCTGAAGAAAAAATATCAAAGGTTCATCCATGATGGAATCATGATCTGTCAGCTTTGACAATATAAGAAACGAAAAAGAAACAAATGGCAAACTTGATTTACTGCGATTCCCAGTCACACGCAACCAACTAGACCTTCATCACAAACGAAAAATTGAGTTTGGGTGGACATCAATCAAAAGAGTTTCTATCGTTTCCATTGGTTTCTACACCAGGACTGTCGTGAATACTCACATGAACCAGTGTAAAAACCGTTGCCCTTATCTCATGTTTCTTGTCATTGTGAATTTCTCGCTCTGGATAATTATATTTTCTCAAAAATGTCACAGATTTCCATCTCCGAATCTCAAACACTTGACTGCAAAGCTATTGCTATGACTGATGAATTGAGTTACTAAAAGATCAGATAAGTCAATACCAATAGCTTTGCAGTTAAGCATTTGAAAGTCAGAGTCGGAATCCTTAGACGGTTTTAAGAGACCCTTTTGATTGAAGTCCACCAAAACTCAATTTTTCGTTTGTGACAATTTAAGAGTTAAAAAACTATGGCAGTTGAACGTGCAGATGGGATGTCAATTAAAACTTATTTATCTATATGATCTATTCTAGACCACTTATCCCATACTAACCCTTAGAAAGTGTCGCACAACTTCCCGCATTCTCTGCTGTAGCATCTCTTCTTTGTTGCTGAAACAATGCTCGGCGAGAGCAGCCAAACTTTCTAGGGACATTTTGGAAATATCCGCATCATAACTGATTTTCGTCGAGTTAAGGAGAATAAGATTACAGTAATATATGAACAAGATTCCTCTGAGGAAACGGCCCAGGTACAAGGAATCATCGTGATAATAACCATCTGATCTGAGACATAATGCTTGACAACAAGAATCGAGAAAATTTGCAAAACTGAGGTGTCACTTTTTCTCTTGAAATTATGGATCTCCAGGCCACCAAACAAAAAAAAAGTAAGTTGCTAATAATCGCTTGAAAACAGTGACACAATAGTTGAGTTTTAAATTTGTATTGTAATGGCTATAGAACATCTTATTTTTTGCAGGATAATAATAGGCCATGTGCAGCTCAGTAATCACATGCTGATCAATTCACTGATCAGTTCATCAATTCACATGGGTGAAATATACTGGTTAGTAAATACAACCTGTTTGGAGAGATCGTAATAAAACTGCATTTCGTAACACACTGATTACACATCGTTTCTTTCAGTTCTTTACAAGTAGCTAAAAAGAATCACCAATTTAAAATGAATAAAATAATTTTGCTCACCAGTACAGGCACGTGACCGTTAACTGCAAAGAGCCTATTGGTTTTATCTTTCAATTGCACTAGATATAAGCTGAAAATGAGTGCGTTGCGCAGTAGTCATATAATTATTAGATAGAGAAAAATTGCTGCTAGAGATATTCTTCGTTTGCACATAACGTCAAAGCCGCCATCTTCGTTGAATTTAACAAATGATTCGTCATTAGTCTCTCTTGTTATGTTAGCAAACATGGCTGCCATGTCTTTTGTTATTTTTATTCCGTTTGGATTAGAATAGACGTTCTTTACCCAATCTCCCAGCCGTTAGAATGCCTTTGTTAATGGAACATTCCATACACATGCTTTGTCAGTTCTCAAACGTCCTTCACATCCATAGGGAAAGGGGAGAGAAAAAAAAGAAGACAATTATGATGACATGTAAGATTTCTCAAAGAAAATAAATTGTTGTCTTGCTTAAAAGATTGTGAGGTTATACTAGCTAAAGAGGATACTTGTTGAGTCCCAGTTCTAGTGTGGACATCATGTTCTGGAACAAACCATCAGGTAGAGTGATGGTCTTCTCTGGGTACACCTCACAGACATACGTGGCAAGTTTGAAGTATTCCTCGCAGATCGATGGGAACTGAACGAGAAAACAAGATGATATTGATTCAGTACATTCACAAGGATAGCTAATACAGAAGATAAGGGGATCAACATTAGATTTATGGGTGAATGTTATGTATTTAGAAATCAAATAAATTTTTAAATCATTGGAGCGATAGGAAATGTAAGAAGGTATTGACTTACAGAGTGTAACACTGAGATGGTTTTTACCAGTGTGAGAAGAGGGTGGGTGTACTTCGGATATAGCACCCTTGAATCCAGTAGAGAATGGAGAACAACAAGTACCCATGAAGGGGATTATGGGTAAATATGAGAAGTTCATTACCTTGAGGATCTCCGTGGAGACAAGAGGGATGATTATGTTCAAACCATATATTGTAACATCTGCTGCTGAGGTATGATTTCCATCTTGGAGGACAAATATCAACATCAGACCTTTTGACCTTGGGCGTAATGATTTTCCATAGACCTTTGCTGATATAGCGAACATGGTGCATTGCGGTCTAGCTTAGGTTTATTAAGCTTCATATCAGTTGTTGTTTGTGCCCAAGTAAGCAAGGTAAGGATGCATGTTTATCTAACTCAGAAAAGGTCTACTTCAAACCACATGTCATTCGTTAGAGTATGATTTCTTTGTTAAACGGTTGTGGCTTGAGAAGACACATGAATATGGACACAACTCGGACAAAGAATCTTATTCTCAAGAAAATGATACATGGTCTGAAATGGGAGGACATAAGTTTCAAGCTTAAGAAGTCATATTATAGAAAGACTTGTTGAAGTAAAAAATTCTAGAATCGTAAGTTGACAGTATTAGTATAGGTAATAGACTACATGCTGTCCAATTTGGAAATAAATGGATGAAAAAAATTCCGAGTGACCTCGGCTAATTTGGATTGGACAAACATGTAGTCCTATTGCAGATTAATTATATCATCCCAAACTATACTAGACTGATTCCATAAGTCATAGTTTTCCCTCGAAAGAATACAAATGGAAAAGATCAAAATTAATCTTTAATTTGGACAGGAAAGAGATTTGAAAATAATACAATAGTTGCTTATATGGGATTATAGAGTGATGATACAATTATTCCAGGAATTAAAAGCAATTTAGTAATTGCTATTTACGTTATAACTGTTTAAGTTGTATCAAGAGAGAATTTTGCTTTTAGCCAAGCTAGAAAGTTTCCCGTGTCAGTTTACCTTCTTTGAAATCTATGATATCTTTGGACAAGATGTGACTAAGAAGCCGCATCAGTAGGTAGAGATCAGAGAACTGTTCTTCTTCCATCAATGAAGAGCAACTGTGCTTGCCTGAAGGAGGAAGGTATGAACGCTTAATGAGAATGATATGCTAAAACTTTGATCTTCATAGAGACGATTTTAGTACAAGTATAAATGTTAAGGACTCTTTAATGAGTATAAGTGTTATCCTTGGTTTTGTATGGAATATTCATGTTCCAGTCGAGGTACATGGAAATACAAATCATTTGTATTGTTGAAGTTGTGCATTCTTTACTTTATGCTCGGTGTTTGTGAATATTTAGACATTGAAAAGAGGCTAATGTGAGTAAATGAGAYGAAAGAGTCTGTAATCAAGGAACACAGCAGTAATTTGGAAACTCCAGAGGTCTATTAGACAAATTCAAACTGCACTTAAGTTTAACGGTATCTTACCGTAACTGTAACTACGTTTGTGACTGGATGATTGAAGTTAAAATGATGTGAGGTTGATTCAGTGTTACCGTATGTAGTATCTTGTGTTTGTTGTCCCTACTAGGCGTTTTCTTTGCATGACCGTCTCTAAGGAACCATCCATTATTTATTGCAAAGTGGCCCGGGGGAAGTGGGGGGACTCCGGGAAAAAAGTACCTGGGATGCTCGTCGGAAATTTTCAAAAAGACCCCTAAAAGATACCGGAAGTTTAAAAAAAGGGCGTGGTTGAATGATTTTTAACCCCTAAGAGATACCACAACAAATAATATTAAAATTTTATATAAMAAGCGTCTAGGATAAGCCATATCGATGCACGCTTCTCTCCTTTTCCGACACCCTAAGAGATACCAGAAAATGCTGATTTTCAAAAATTCGCATTTAACACCCTNCCATCCATCCATCCATCCATCCATCCATCCATCCATCCATCCAGGTTTGATAAAGTTATGATACATCTACCATTTGGTGTTATCTTGCCTAGTTGCTTCTATCTCAACCATTTAGATCAATGATAAATTATTCATTTACAACTATTTCATTTCTAGGTGTTCCAATTTGCTCCAGCTTCTGTGATGCTTGGTTTGCTGCATGCAAAGATGATAAAACCTGTGTCCAGGATGTCTTAACTGGCTATGAATTTCTCCCCAATGGAACAAATGTCTGTCCAGTCAATAGCACCTGCGTCACCTACAAGGAAATGTTCAAAAGTGGAGAAGGTCTTTGCAACAAGATGTGGAACACATCCTACGTATATACAAAAGAGAATTCCGACCAATCTAACTGTATGGTCATGAACTTCACTGGAAATGTTAACCCAAATGCAAAGTTTTTTAACTCGGTCAATCTGGCACCTGTTTATACCTCTTCTCTTATTGCATCATTATTTGCTTTTGTTGTTGCTTTGCACTTTAATGGCCCATGTGGCATATGACTTTGTTTTTAACAGTACTCCATGCTTTTTAAGCTTAGATGTAACTTTATGAAGTAGTATACCTGAGGGGGGACTCTGGGGAAAAAGTACCGGGGATGTTCGTTGGAAATTTTCAAAAAGACCCCTAAAAGATACTGGAAGTCTTTAAAAAAGGGTGTGGCTGAATTTTTTTAACCCCTAAGAGATACCACAACAAATAATATTAAGTTTTATATAAAAAGCGCGTAGGATAAGCCATATCGATGTGCGCTTCTCTCCTTTTCCGACACCCTACTAAGAGATACCAGAAAATGCTGATTTTCAAAAATTCTCATTTAACACCCTAAAAGATACCAAATCGCAAATTTTTACCCCTAAGATATATGACGATCATCCCCGGTACTTTTTTCCCGGGGTCCCCCCCCCCCCCTTCCCCCTGGGCAAAGTGGGGTCTTGAAATGATTGGTTATTTGTTGTAGGGCAAGATAGGGCATGGAATGGGGGCTTTTCCCCCCATATTCTCGCTTTTTGATGTTTTTTTGACTGGTTTAGAGTGGAAACCATTTTAGTTTTGAGAGGCATTGAATGTTTGCCATCAACAACCCAGAGATTTAGATCTATGTCATGACGGATCTCCCTATGTAACCTACCCAGACTGTACTTAGCATAGGTCTCCAGCAATGAAAGACATGCTTTGTAGAGTTTATCTGACTCCTCCTGGAACATTCAAACAGTAAAGTAAAAAATTAGCTCAAGCGACCAAAAATATTTAGGATTTTACGCTCAAACTGCAAATGCCCTTTACTTCGTAAACCATCGGTCCTCCGTTCCATTGCACAATTTTCGCTCGTCTAATTCCAAATCAAAGGCAGTGTAGCAGCAGTGTGCTCGTGTGGGTCTCTTGATCCGAGGGTTTTTCTGCAGGTTATTCRGCTTTTCTCCCTTTGTAAAACCCCGAAACTACTTCACAAGGGAAACCTCCTTCTACCGTGACTAGCCAGACAAYGGCAATTGAAAACATACACAAAACGTAACATAACTGAAGTAACGCACCGCGGATAAAAAAGTTATTTGCGAATGAACCACGTCCACATACATCTCCAGTACCAGCACCGATACTTCAGGACAGTCTTGGTAAATGTTTAAAAGTGTTACGCTGTCACGCAACACCGGTAATACRAAATGAAACAACTCTTTAGTATTGTCGGTGGACGAAGCCAGGGCAACGCCTCTAAAGGATTCTAAAAGACTCTGAATTTCACACTTGACTTCTTCATCTTGCGCGACTTTGATGAAGTTTGGCTGCTGACAGGCATTCGAGAATCGAGTGTAGAGAGATTGAAGAAACTGAAATATCAAAGAAAAACATTTAACAGTGGCGAAATTACTAATAGGACCTTTGCAGCTAAGCAATCACGTGCTGATTAATTCACTGAGAGCAAATGAATGAACATTTTGATTCCCATGGTGAAATTTACTGGACTGCAAACAAACTTTTTACAACCTGTTTAGAGAGATCGTAATAAAACTACATTACGTAGCACACTGGATACACATGTTTTCATTCAGTTCTTTACAAGTAGCTAAAAAGAATCACCAATTTAATATAAAAACAAAGTTCTTGCAGTCCAGTACAGACACGTGACAGTTAACTGCAAAGGGCCTATTGTACCATCAGACTACCAACCAAAAGCGGTGTTTACTAAAAACTAAAGCAAGTTATGGTTTCTTTACTGGTTTTATTGTTTTGATTGTCTGTTCTCTTGTGTTTCTTGTATATCTGATGGTAATTATTGATTTTGTCCTCATTGTAACAGCCGTTGTTGTGGCATAGTTAAATTAATGGATGAAATGAATAAACGAGCTAATGAACGAATGAATAAACAAACATTTCAATATCAGTACTAGCCAATAGCATTTGCCACTTGTTGTTATTGCTAAAACCTACCTGATTCCAGTATCTGTCTCTTAACGAGCTCCCCTCTCCAGAGGACCCTGCTAAAACTAGTGCTTGTACTAAATATCGATGGGCCTCAGCTGGCATCTGGGATATGGGACCTTGTCTTAGTGCGTGATGTTCTCCGATTTGCCACAAACATTCAAAAGAGATCGCGACCTCAGCTCTAAGGGAATGAAAAAATAGTAAAGAGATGAAAGATGACAAACAACAAACAGTAAAGCATAAGGTGTTCCAAACAGCTCACCATTGCTCAATTGATCATGCATTTCGTATACACTTTCATAATGTTACATCATTCCGCATCATCATCATTGCTATCATCATCAACTTCATAATTTTCATAATAATATAGAGTATATTTGGTATGATTTTTTAGTAAACGCTACAGCAGGCGGCAAAATAAATGTACAACATCTTTTGACCATTGTTCATCCCATAGAAGTGCATCTCACTCTTACAGACATACAAAATATATTCTATTACTGTCCTTATTTTATTTCATTACCTCTGCTTGGTGTCCACCAGACTCAACAGTAACAGTACTGTATCCTCAGCCAGAGCTGGTTCACTCGACCAGTGAGTCAAATTAGAACGAACTTTCTCAAGTAAAAACCCAATGGTCCACTTGCCGCCATTGGTGTCTTGTCCAAACACAGACGACAGAGTCACGCTCAGTTGTTCATATTCCTGCTCATCTGGAAGTAAATAAGACTTAGAAAAATGACGTAGAAACCAGACCACTGTACCACCGACCTGCGGGCTCATAAGGTGTCCCAGGCTTGTCGCCAGAGCCTTGTTTTCTACATCTGCTATGTGGAGAACAGCAGCGATGACCTTGATAACAGGATCCACTTTTGATTGGTCGATAGTACTAGGACAGCCTGGGGAAAAATAAAAAATTAGTTCTCTCGTTGCCACAAAAGTTTTCCTCGTAAATATAACCCAAAATTTCTTTGAATTGTAAACTTGTTATATAGTATGTATATATTTATGTATCAATAATGAAAACATTTTTTGAATTAATAGCATCTTTTATTAATAGAGCTTGATTGGTCTATGAATCTCCACGCTTCATACTATCTATTTTGTTAATTAGTCCTGGGTGCAATAGTACCTTGTTTAACCCTCTTGGGTTGTCTCTCTTCCACCCTCCACCTTTCCATTTTTTCTTATTGTAATTTATGTATTATGTATTTTGTGGTAAATGAAAACCTTTGAAACCTCCACTTCCCTGTATTCCTTTTCCTGTGCTGTGTAGCATGCATTAATATTCGCCTGCCGAGTAAACCGTCTCAGAAGTGCCCTTATTCTGAAGGTCAGTTACAAAAACTTGTGGTTATCAAGGCCAGTGATGATGGTGCACTCGCCTCTCACCTCTGGGTTCTCGGATTTGAATCCATGACTTTCAAGGACTAGAGTTTGTTAAATTTCGTTCGAGGCTTTTTTTCCAGGTTTTCAAAGGTTAAAGGTTACGTATGTAACACAAACTAGGATCATTCGATTGTACCTGCTGTCCTGGTATGCGCCGCAATCAAATAGTCCAGCGTCATTTGGAGGTCAATGTTCTGCTCATTCGCGATAGAGTATTGTACGATTTCACTGGGTATAAGAGGAGTTTCTCCTGTGCTTTCATCAGCAACCATGTGACCAGCGATCATAACCAGCCAATGAAGATCTTCAAATAGGTTTTCCATGCAATGCATGTGTCGAAGGGGAGAGCCTGAAAATACAAGAATAGGCTATTTTCAACGAACAGTCAGGTGATGATATATCCCTTTGATAACGAATCAGTTCAGTCAAAAGTCCCTTGGGGAAGGCTCTGCTGGTTGGCAAACAAACTTTTGTATGGTTCGTGTCTTGAAATTGCAATTATATTATGAGGGGAAAAAGTGTTTTGTAAAGCTTTTGGTTATGAAATTAATCATATCCTTTTTGTAACACTACCAAATCCTGCAATCTGATTGGTTCAAAGGAGTGCGATTAATTCCCAAATCGCATTCTTTTGAGCTCTTAATCGCATCTTTTTGAAAGAAACAATCACAGAACAGAATTCTTATATTCAGCTAMTCAGAGAAGGGAATGATTAGCATTATTTATGAAATATTTAATGATTTGCTGATAAATCGTTTATTTTATGCCAGGAAAAACCTGATTGATTTACTTTTTCTTCTACATTAAATTGATTATTCTGCACTCTTTATTGTGTCTTTTTCTCGTAATTGAACTTTGTGTCGTGCAATTTTGGACCAAAATCATASGAGTGATTACAAAATTGCACGACCGCGTAGCGGGAGTGCAATTTGTTAATCACAAGTATGATTTTGGTCCAAATTGCACTCCACTCAGTTCATTTACCATCATTAAAAATCTAGTAAAAGTTATTTAAAATAAAGGAATCCCAAACAAAGAGACAGACAGATATACTGTACAGACATACAGACCATTTTAACCCCCTCTCCCAATAAACATTTTCCCTATGTTCTTGAGATAGAAACATTCAAATATTTCAACTAGGTAAAAAACACAAAAACTGTTTAGAAAGAAAGGAATATTTCATGCATCTAAAAATGAAAAAAGTCCCCCCC